CTGTTTGTGAGTATAGTGCAGTTTGTCGTGAATGGTTCAGGCATAGGCCGTGTTTGCGCGAGCCAGGTAGTCCCACCTTTTCCGTACTGGACATTCAGCACTAAATGCATTGTGGTCGGTTTTTCGCAACCCAGAGTGCGAGCAGTTGCAGCACTGTGGTTCATTACCTGCGGTAAAGTCTGCGCATTTCTCGCGCAGATGCGGTCCTCCACAGTGACTACATCTGTCCACACTCTCGGTGCAAAATTTCCGACCATGTCCGTATGCGAGGCATTTCGTGCATTGGATGAGCGGAGACTGGTCCTCGACTCTGACCCTTTGTAGGTCTAGATAGAGAGCTCCAGCCTCCGTCATCCTCTGCCAAGCATTAGGCTTCACCTGCAGGATGATATGCACTGTCTTCGGATTTCTGGTCCGCTTTTTTAAATTTGACTGTCATTTCTATGTCCTCTTCCGTAAGACCAATGAAGACATCCTTATTCTGGGCGTATAGCGCCTTAATTATATCTTCGTCTTCACTGTCCATAAAAACATCTTTCAGGATGACGAGAGGATTCTTATTTATTATAGGCGCAACTATTAGTCCATCCCCGCGACTCTCTATTATTTTTTGGACTTTCGTCCTCTCCTCTTCAGTGTCGCAACCCAATATAATTTTCTGGTTTTTGGCCTTGCGAACCTTGTTTATTTTAAGGCCAGTACCTCTAGCGTCAACCGCTTTCTTCACCCTGGCGAGCACCTCGTCAGCAGTCTCCAGACCACCTTCGAGGGTGACCGCCATTGAGTGAAGTGCAGGGCGGTGGATAGGTTTGGCTGCTGCGACGCTGGCGTATGACTTAAGGACTGGTGCTGTGTTTATTTCGCATGCCAGTCCTTTTGTGACCTCCAAAATATCTTTTTTGGCTGCTATGACATCATCGGCAATACCACCGATCAGATCTTTAATCAGGGCGTGCGTTCGACTCTCGACCTTCTCGGTCGTTTCGTCTATGGCAGCCCTGGTTTCATCGATCCTATCGGTGATCTTGTCGATCATGTCAGAGCCTCGGTCGTCGTTACTGTTATGGAGTCCCTCTATGTCTGTTTTCAGACTTTGCTCCAACTCGTTTATACGCCCTGTCAGCGTCGCTTCCACCTCTCCCAGTTTCCTAATGATAGTGTCATGCCCTTCGGACGACAAGGTTTTTATTGGTGATCCTGTTTTTGTGGCCTGTGCTTCGAGACTTTGTATTCGTCTGCTGAGCTCGAAGATTGTTCTTATACCCTTGTCTGACTGCACCTCCAGGAAATGCTTAATGTCTTTCCTCATCTGAGGGTACTCCTGGACCTTTGAGGGTATATCCTCAAAGGTTTTCATCATTTCCTGGAGGAGCTGATCGCTCGACAATGCAGCGTAATTATGTTTCTGCTTTTTGTAGATGTCCATGTTGTCGAGCGATCTTCTTTTGGCTTCAGGTCTTTTAATAAAGGTCCTGGCAGCGTCCTGTGCCGCTGCGGTTGTGGTGGTAGGGCTGGGTGGTGGGCTTTTTGGCAGCGCCAGAGGTCGTGGGTGTGCGATACATGGTTCTGTGTGAATGTATGAGTGCGGTGTATAGTGTAAGTTATGAATGGATCGGGGAACGTTGTCCCTATGTAAAACCCTGTAAAGGGGGGTCTGTATGTAAAATATTTGTTAGACCCTGTAAAGGGGGGTCTGTGTCACTTATGAAATAAAAACTAGTCAAAAATAAAATAAGGTAGATTCCAGCTCTACCAAGTTATTTTTATTAATTAAAAATATAAAAGTATTGAATCTCCGTATGACTCTATGTAGAGTCTCTTTATAGATACTAATGTAAATGTAAATAGAGTAGGAAAACAAGAGCACAATAAAATGAAAGAAAATTAAAAGAAAATAAAATAAAGTAAAATAAAGTAAAATTGCTCTACCTAGAGTCTGGTCTTATTATCTATTTCAATTTAATAATGTTAG